ACACTGGGGTCGAGCTAACACTGCAGCCAGTTCAGATCAGCCAGGCTCCTGCTCTACGCTTCCGAGAACACACAACAGGCTAAATACCACATCTAATCCTCAAAAGATTACTTATTCAGATGGCTCTTGTACCGCACTCAGTTCGTTGCAGCAGCCAGTCCAACAGTTGTCGAAAGTCACTGTGGTGCGACTTCGTCGTGGTAGTCCTTGTTCCTGTGGAGAGCCTGCATCGCTGGGTTATTGGCCTCATCGGACTTTTGATGTGGAAATTCTTGTCAAAAACATAGACAATGCTCCAATTCTGAACTGCACCATGGGGCATCCTCACGCCTTCCTACTTCTACAATAGCTTGTGTGTTGTGCATGCATCGTCGAAGGTGAGGCAATCCTGCAACTGATAAGCATTTCTAGATGGAAATACACTCTTTTGGTGGGCATGTGCATTTCATTCACTGGCTTTAGCTAGAGTTTGTTTCTTATCCTGATGCCTCTTGCTTCAGCCAGGTGCATTTTTGGTATAATTATAGGTTGTCTATTTAACGAAGTATTTCATAAGCAAGTGAAGAAGCACACTAGATTTCTGTCACAAGAGTAGGGACTGTTTTGTATCCACAATGGCTAATTTGATTTTGCGGAGCTTGTCATAATTGGGTACTCATTTTTTATTTCATGGCATCTGTTTTTGGTATTTGGATTTCCTTTGGGGTTTTTATCATACTAACTCACTGCAACATTTCATCCTATCTCACCTTCTTCAATGAATATAGAATTTTAATATAGTTGGCGGTCAAGAAAGATAAAGAGCTCCCTGTGCTCCTAAATGATTTTGTAACAAACAAATAAAAAATAAAAAATAAGTAAAAACATCATCATCCAGGTGTTCTTTTATGCAATGTTTTGGTAATGAAAACAATGAGTTTTTGATACCCACACACATGTTTTTAAAGAATCATATAAAGAATTTCATTTGACCTTAATAGAAAAAGTGAAGTATTTTGACACCCAAACCATTGTTGTTCATGATGCTAGGTATTCATGGGATTTTCAGTTTTTGTCTAATGAGGATTTAGTTTTAAAGTAATCATCATTTGCATATTTTATGTAGGGTTTTATGCCAAATGAAACATTGCTGGTAATGAAATGAAGTATTGTTACTTTAAATCATTGCTTAACTTGGATATTACCTTTCTTCACAATGGACCAAGATGAACATATTTTAGTGGTGGTTATTAGAAAATAAGATGAATTATTTTTAAACATCTATATATAAATTTAACTTCCCAATATGCACTAAGAAAGCTGATTTTGAGTACTTTGAATTATAGTATACATTTGAGAGGTTATTTTGGACAATGCTTTTTTTCTAAAAAATTACACAAGAATTCCAAATTTAGGGTGTAGGCTAACGTCCTCTAAGTTAAGTACTACGAATTTTTCAAAAATACATGTTCTTGTAAGTTGGAAGTTCCCATCTTTCTTTTTCTTTTCTTTTCTTTGTTGTTGAAAATAAGTAATCATCCGGTCTAAAACCTGCCAACTTTTATAGTTCACACCAATAACTCATAAACATGGAACTAGTAATGAAGCAATCTCAATGAGGAACTGATTTTCAAATTAACAGCTTGGAGCTGTTTAAGTTTTTCACATACAAAAATGATGAGCACAGTCATTCTGACTACAAGGGCCACATCACAAAATAATAAATAAATATACATAAAAAATATTTATATCTATCTATATACATACATCCATGCATAGAAAAGAAAAGCAAAGTGATGTCACATATACTACAGTGTCAAATTTTTAAAGTTTTTTAATTTTTTAATTTTTAATTTTTTTTGTCATTTGTTTACTCAAACTTGTTGGTTTTCAAACATCCACAGGGATGTGAGATCCAAGCAGTTGTGATTGTGTAGCCCTGGATTCCCATGTGGGTTCCCCCTCTCCCAGGCTTAAATCCAAACCTAGATCCAAGCCTAAATCCAGACCTAAACCCTCCATTGCCTCAGCTCCCTTGGAAGCTCACCAACCCTAGGCAACAGTACAGCCTAAGATTTGCTAGCCGCCTACTATGGACATAAATGCCCCTCAGTCAGGACGAGGTAGTTGTCCCTTGCTGCTATCTTTCACCCAATCCCAGCTCTGTCACCTCCCACAACTTGTGTGGGTTTTGTGCTGAGGTGGCACATGTGGACAAAGTGCCACGTGGGCAGCCACTTCAGAAGGTATACAAACATCTAAAATAGTCTTGCCCAGCATGAACCCACATGAACCCTTCCATCCCTCTTCGGATGTGTGTGTTGAATTGAAAGACAATCAACAACAACAACAACATTGACTTTCAGGAATGTTTTCAGCAGCCAGTCAAATCTCCAATGTTTATATGCATATGTGTGTGTGTGTATATATATATATATATTTATATTTCACATATTATTTCTGATGATGAGTCCTGAACCGGCTTATTTATGTTGTTTTAACTAGTTCTGATTATTATTATAATTTTTTTTTTGTGGAAAAAGGCAATGGCTCTTGCAAGTTCTGATTATTATTATAATTTTTTTTTTTGTGGAAAAAGGCAATGGCTCTTGCAAATTCTGCTTGTGTTATTACTTGGGGTTTTGAGAATGTTTCTAATTTAAAGTGAAATTCTTATGAACTTCAAGTTCATAGTAATTGATTTTTTCTTATTAAAACCATTTCTTGTGACCTCTAATTGGTGCTATAGTGGATATATAAAAAAATACTTCTCTTTTCTTCTTTTTATTCTTTTTTTAGAAATCTTTGTATTGTTTGTCCATTGCATTAAAAAAAAATCTTTTTATTATATAGCTTCTTTTTTCAATAAATTCAGAGTTCCCCACTCTGTCCACCAGTGCACTAAATTGGGCCAGACATACAAACAAATCAGAAAGGAAACTTGTTTAGTTTTTAAAAAATGGGCCCCATTCATCATGCATGATCTGGGATTAGCCCACTATCAGCCATTAGCTATTCCCATTTGGCCCCATCATGGCACAATGTCTCTCCACCACCATGTACAGGACCATAGTCAGTGAAGAAAATTCAACAAGGAAAAGAATAATTAATTTAGAAAGAAAAAGAAACATCCATGCTTACAAAAGACAAATAAGACCACCCATTGTCCTCCTTGTCACCCAGAAACTGCATCATGCCAAAATGAGAATGTCCCACCATCACTGCCATTGTTGCCACCTAGCCACACAGACATGTTCCCTACTTTGATCAGCAGTTTCTTTTAATAAAAAACCAAAATTCTCCAAGTTGATGATGGAGTTTTTGTCAATCAGTAGCCTTATCCTGAAGATGGTTTACCCTTCAAACTTTGGCAACAATACAGTGCCACTGAAACCCTAATCCATGACCTGAAGTCCCCAAGGGAAAGCTACTTTTTTAGCAAATGAAGTTGCATTTGAGGGACATGGAACAAGTTGGTTCTGCCAGTATGATTCAGCTGTGGGATTAACTTCAAAGTGGGGTGACAGAAAGAGCCGGGAGAAAGAAAGAACAACAAACAAAACAAAACAAAACAACTCCTCCCTGAAGCTTTCAATAAAATGTACACATATTTCTATGCGGGGTGTTGGAACTGTACATGTGTTGTACAGATTGGTATTGTGGTCTCATGAAGCAAGGACTAAAAGTTGCAGCAGGAAAAGAGAAAGTTATTGACAAGGGCAAAAAAGTTTTTCTTGACATGGGGTATTGACAATGCTCTAATTATACATGTCCATTTTGTTTACAAATGCACAAGCAGATAAGTATGCTGATTGGACACTAAAGTAATTCTAACAACTTTTGGTTAATCTTCATCTGAAGAGAGATCCCTTTTGAACTCCATGTGAACTGCAGTCTACGTTCTAGTTGACAATATGAAGTGAATTTTGAGCCACTGAGAGGAATTAGTTATGTCTCATGTCTCATGTCTCTCACAAAAAGTAACCATGCTTTCTTATATAAGAACTGCAGTATGCTTCTGAATGTGTGTCAGCCAAAGTTTCCTAAAACATGGTGGGCTATGGGGAAATAATGGCAATGGACTAGGTTGGTTTTGCCAAGGATGTGAAGTACAGCAATTAAGTTATTAGTTTTATCTGAATTGAAGCCAAGGAAGGTCAACCTTCTTTTTTGCTTTTGTTTTGTCATCATTTCAGGATCCATGTGCTTGTGGTGTCTTAATGGGGAGGGATGTACACAGATGAATTCTGAATGTAATATTAAGGAGCTTAATTACAGGGGGGTGTGGAGCCTCCTTTGAAAGTCTCAAACAACTACTGCCTGAAAATGCACTAAGATCCTGCATTGGAGTCTGTCAATTAACATCAACATAAATGCCAATTAGAAATAGTAGAGGAGGGCGAGTTGTATAAAGATACTGGGAAATCTCTGTAGGGTTGTGGCACCACATAAATGGTGCTTTTAAGGATTTTGCATGATCTGCATTTCACAATTAAATATACATGCCAATGTAATGGTGAAAGGGGGTAAGTCTTAAGAAACACAAAACAAGGGAGCAGGCTTGTCACACATATGACAACAACTCTACCATGTTGTGTGACTGGTCTATTTAGTTGATAATCTGGTTCTTCATGGAAGTCCAGGCTCAGGTTGTCATAGGGTGTCACTCTCCATCATCAACTGTTTGATTTTGTTTGTTTGTTTGTTTGTTTGTGTGTGTGTTTTTTTTTTTTTTTTTTTTTTTTTTTTATGGCAATAAGTAACTACCAGTGAGCCATTCATAAAGGGCAACAATTCAACTTCTGTTGGATGTGTGTCACAAGTGGCACAGTATTTGAAAAATAATGCCCACAGGTGCATGGGGCTGGGGGGTGGGGGAAATGAAGGGCTTCGAGACAGGTCACCAGAATGAAGGCGGAAAGCCTCTGGTAGAAGCTTCGGCGCCACAGGCGTAAGAAGCTATAATGACGGTAATAAAGCCACAACAGTATCTACAGTTTTGTAAAGATTCACCAGTTGAGGAGGAATTGATGGTGGAGTGTGGAATAATTGCCCACAGAAAAACCCACTCTTCATTATGAGCTTCTTCTCCACCCCCCTCCGACACCACTTCTTGGACCCAGTCCCTCTGAAGTTTGTCACAACAGCGAAGATTGGTTGATCACGAAGTAGAGCTCCAGTTTCCATCGCTGAGGTGCAAATCCCATTACCAGGAACCTCCCCACCCTATTACAGCGGAGTGGGAAAAAATAGGCCGGAATCGTGAGACGAAGCAAAATGTGGTAGGGTGGCATGACATGAGCAGGAGAAGCCCCGTCGTGATGCTATTAACACATCTCGTTTTGTTGCTATTTAGTCGCCGTTTCGGAACCGCTTGCATTACTCTCATCGCTCCTCTATATCTCCACGAGCCGTGCAAAGACTCTGCTCTCCCTCCGCTACCTCACGCGGTGCGTTCTCCTATATCGAGACCTCTCTAGACGAGTGCTGGTCATCTTGTAACTTTTTTCACATGACCTTCCACAGGAGCTTGCAATTTTTCTCTGTTGTCGATGGAGTCCACTTCCATGGGTGTGTTCTCGGGAGCGCCGCGGGAGGGGGGGGGGGGGGGTTGGAAGCAGTGTCGGCGGTGGGATGCGACGCATGTTGCTTGGTGGAATTGTCTGGCGATGATGATCGCTAGTATAGACTCCTGTGGAAAGGCGAGCCAAGCCGCCTGCTTTTTCTAGCTACGGTCTTACCTCGTCTGTCAGATGCTAGGGAGAGAATACCGGCGATGGTATTGTCCATGACGTGGTCAGTGGCGTGTGCAGGACAGCCAGCAGATGGTCGCCTCGGGTTGAGTGTGTACCATCCGCGATCATTTCTTAGGTGGTTACTGCTTTTTGAGGGTCGCAATTCGAAGTCACAACCATCACAGCAGGGCAGAGCGGAGGACAATTTGGCGTTGAGTACCTACGCCAGGCCGGGGAGAGACTCAATCCTCTTCGGCTTGGTTGGTGCCCATTTCAGTGCCCAGCAACCGATTGAACATGCCTGCGTTGTTGTAGATTCAATCCCGCACGTAGACGCGTTAGTTCTCTTAGATAGGTCAGACGGGTGATTTCTTCATTTATGTCTTCACTCCGATCTTAGACAGGCCCTACTGAGATCTTTGGTAAATGGGATCTAGTAGGCCCGAAAGATCACTTCCTTGATTGATGTAGTTGTGATGCTGAAGGCTAACAGGATTCAAGTCTGTTTGGTAACTACCACCATGTTAGAGTATTCTGATTCCTTTGGCGATGTACAGAGAAGTGAAGGACTGTTCTACACGTCGCGCCGGGAAGTTACTGATAGTCCTCCCCACCGTCACCAATTATGTCTATCTGTCATTTGTAACTTGGAGGAATCGATGAGACATGACTCAGGAGATGCCGGTAGCTGTGGCTGTGGAAGCAATCTGTGTTTCCGTTGTGGGCAATGATGGGTCGGCCGGAGCCGTCTTGCTGCGGTCCGGCAACACCGAGGGAGCTGGCCTCATTCCTCTCGGTTGAGTTCCATGACTGTACAGATAGCAAAATGCCTGACGTGCGGACATCGATGTGAAGGTTTTGTGATAGCGTAATATTTAACTTAATGTTATATGGGAATAGCTGTGCTGCTGCAATGATTGAAGATTTGCAATAGGCTAGGCTAAGGTAGGTTTCGTGATGAGTGCCAGGCGTGTTATGATCAACATGAGTTGCAGTTCGATGAGGGATTTGATCCGGAAATCGGATGAGCCTTCGTCTTTGAAATTGACTGGAGCACTGTAGCAGTTATTCTGAAATGTGTTACTTCGGGTCAAGCTTCAGTTTAAAATTTCATGATGTCATTTGTACGTCAGGATGCGCAAAATTATCCGGTTTATGTGGCGATCGGTGGAAGATGCTGGATGTGCCTTTGCCGTGAGGAATGACGTATGGCCCGAAGCTATCTCTTGGATGGCCTTGATGAAGCTCCGGACCAGGCTTCATTCCCCTCGGCGGAGTTGCAAATGTGGACACGGCCGTCCACCAGATCGTGCATCGTTCTGGCGCTTCATCATCCGAACATCAGATCGGGGAGTTCGACAAGACTATGAGACTTTGTCATGAGGAATGACGAGTGGCCCAGATTCGTTTCTGGTCTAGAAATTGAATTTCGGACCAGGCTTCATTCCCCTTGGCACGGTTCCATGGAGGTACTGTCATCGTGTTTTTGTACACTGTCATAGAGTGCACCGACTGTCAATTGGCTATAAGCGTGGAGTTTTTACATGAAACTTATGCCGTGTGAAATGGAATATGACCCTGAGCATCTATTTTTGGTTTTACAAAATAAGGCTTCGAACCAGACTTCATTCCCCTCGGAGATATTACACGATGATGCTGCGAGGTGAATTATTGTGACTGCTATGCACATGTCATGAGCCGAGGCCGAGAACAGAGATTGTGTAGCTCAGCTGTAAGGAATGTGGCATGGCTCGATGCTGTTTGAGCATGTCAAGTTCAGCCTCGGACCAGGCATCATTCCTTTCATCTCAGTTACACATTTGACATCCAGGAAGGTATTAGCTTGAGAAAGTGGAAAAGTGACAGGCTTATATTACCACAGATTCTTAAGGGTATTACAATCCAGTTTGAGTCCCGATCATTGTAATGCACATGCACTGACGTTTAGAGGTCGCACGTGTAGGTCGTTGTAGGAGCATCCTGACAAGGCTTATTCTTTAGCTGCATCAACTGACTAGTTTTGTTTAAAGAGAATCCCACTTGACTGCTTGAAGGTTCTAGACCTGGACAAGCGTATGTGTACTTGTTCTTGGGAGTTGGAACGGCCTGAAACTCTCCACAAATCATAAATGCTTTCCGCTGTCTGCATTCTGGACAGATTGCAGCAGTGCTACTTTAGCGAGGCTTCATTAGTACCAGCTATCGCGAAGGTCTAGAGTTAAGAAAAGGTTAATTTGATTTGGAAGAGATCTCTAATTAGTCGCATACACAGTTAAATCCGTCAGTGAGCAGTATGAAAACGCAGGAAGTTGCCAAGTTCTCTTTTCATATCAATTGCGTGACAGAGGACAAAGAGCTTCAGGGCAGTGGCTAGATCTTGGACTTAGAACCAACAAGCTTATCTACATGTATAACTGCGTATCTATGTTGCATTGTGTCTCGTCTCTTAGTATGCAGCCTTTCAGAGTTTAAGTGGACTAACTTGTACGAATGTGAAAATACTTGTAAGTAGTGAGCTGTGCTTAGGTTTTGGGTTAATAACTGTATTTGTTGAGAAATCTAGTTTTGCTACGTTGCTTTGTGTTTAGTTGTGTTCAAGTTTCCCGTCTCCAATCACAATGCCGGTGTCTAGTTAATGTTGGATATGTACTTTTGATCTGAGCCGCAGTAGATCGTGGTAATATTACATAGATAAGTGTGGCTCAAGATGTTGAGCTACATTCTCTTGTTGGATGTGCCTGTCTGGATGTTTGGTTCACTTCCATCACTGCCATGTGCAGACTTATTTTTGTTGCCGTTGTGCCACGTACAGAGCGAGTTCTGAGAGAACGATTCTCGGAAACTGTATACACCTTTGACAATTGGTGCTTTCTGGTTGAGGACGTTAGTCTATCCTCTCACAAACTCTTACCGGTTAGCGGTTCTTCATAGCGTGGTGCATGCTTGTGACCCAAGACAGCTTGTTGAAACGCCCTGAAAAGTTTCAATTGGTACGTCTGTGTCGTACGATTGTCTAACTGATGGATATACGGTATGCTCTTTCTGCAGTATTCAATGGGCATTCCATAAGTTATGTAGGTAGCTACGCTTACATTCCATGTTATCACCGTGTGACATGGGATTTGACGGTGTTAAACGATAAAAATGTTGAGTATGAAATAATGAATTAAACTATGTTCCTTGGTGAACTACACAAACTGCCTGGTTTGTAGAACTGGAATCTTGTCTCTTTTCTGTATGTTACATTCTAAAAGAATTTTACAGGCTTTTTTTACGACGCAGTTCCAATAGGTACTAAACATACAGAAGAAAGAACGTCGTAAAAACGCCAGAATTCTATCTCCTTATGATAGCCAAGTTACAATAGGTGCTGTCAATCTGTTTCGCTAAGATTGATGGTGATTATAAGCTAATCAAAGGACTCTGGTCTTTTCACTGCTAGTGCGGCTTTTTATTTAGTCCCGTACATTTGGAATTCCGTGTTCTGGTTCAGGGCGTTTGGAAACAGCAACACGCTTTTTTTTAACATCTTCTGCAGTACAAGATTGGTGGTAAGACTAGCCTTAGCTGCTGCGGTGTTGAGATTGACGGTAGGTTCTGTTGCAGTGCATGCGGAAAAATAGAAGGGACCTGTGGGGCTTTCTATTAACACGAACATATGTTGAAAATTACTTCGAATATGCCTCCGATATAATAATCCTTCCTGCCTTCCACAGTAGTGGATTGAAGGCATCCTAGCGTTAAGCCACCTGTGCTACCCGTGACTTTGGAGTTCATATTCCGACGACTGGCACATAATCCTATCAAAATTCATGTCGGGATTAAGTGACCTGTAAATTCTTGCTATAGCGAGTAAATTCATGCTTTTGTTTTATCTATAGAGATTTGAATCACGAGATCCTCGTCGATGACAAACACGACCTATCCTGGCGATGAGACTGCTCTGAGACAGATATAGAACAGGTTTTGTCTGTCTGAATGTAGGAAAACATCCTGAATATTCTGTGAAGATTGTCTTGAATTAATTTATCGTTTCAGAACCATTGCCCTATATCGGACAGCACCTTCTTAAAGATCTGGTCTGTTGTTTATATTTGGAAAGAAAGTAAGTTGAGTCTTGACTTCTGCACGATTATCAAGGCTTGGTGAAAGTGTGAAACTGCCCTCCACACGAATGTACTGGGGAAATGCACAACCATTCGTTATGCCGTGTTTATCTAAAAATGAAGAGAGGAAGGAATTGTGTACCAACATAGCCTGATATGAGAAAAAATGTGAGCCCTGAATGTCACCATGTTTTCACTCCCGGCACTCACCCTAGATCTTCATTTCATGACGCTGACACTCTTCCATATCTTCATGCCACTTTGTCTACTCTGCATTCCTCTGTACCTGATAACCAAAAGTTTATACACAGCTACGCTGAGCATATTCTTGGCTCATTCTCTCTTGGTATACCCTTCTCTTCCCATCCGTGCTTGCAGTCTCTTTCAGCTCTTTGTCTCCATCAGCTCCCCAAGCGTTTCTTTCTGCGCTTTCACGCAACCTAGCTCTAACCTTTTTCATCTCATCCGCACAGTTCACCACATCTGGTAATCAGATTCTTCCTTTAAACACCTTTCCTAGACACAGTTTTTTTTCCTATGCAACTTGAAGCGCACTGAGTTTGAAGATTTAAAATGACAACTCATTATCATGATCTTCACAGGTGCCTACAGTACTCCTGAAAAGAAGTGCCTACAAAAGAAGGCGATGTTGATGTCAACATTGAACTTCAGTATCAAATTGATTCACAAGGGAACTGTTTTAAGCTGAGTATTTTGTCCCAGGTAGTAAACCCGCTGCGTAATAATCAACCTAGACAGTGGAACCACAGACCGTTAGAAACTGCTCACCTCTTCTCCGCACACCTCGCAGTCCTGGAACCCCCATGAATCATGTTAAAAATACAAACTGCTGTCGGTGCCCCTCCTGAGGCCGACAAAACCCACTTTGGTTGCCATGGAATCCACCACTCTTTGTCTCTCACACTACACCGCTTCATGTTACATTGTTCTGCATCCATCTGGACGGTGCCGTAAAGTCTGGGTCTAATGATAAGGAAGCCATGAAGGGAGGGGAACACATTTACCACATGAAACTCCGAACTTAACAAAGCAGATATATCAGCCTTCTGCAGGCCTACATGTGCTTTTGTTTTTATTTTACTATGGATAGTATTTGTTGGAGTTTGTGAAATGTCTTTGAAGTGGAACAGCAATGGTTGGATTTAATTTTACGTTTTTGATACAAACTAGGTTTACTTCTGGCTTAAATTAAAAAGAGGCCAAAAACACAAGGCATTTAGATCTAATATCTTTGATTGGCAAACATTGAGGTAATAGACTATAACACAATTGATGCCTGTTATGATGTCCCATTGGTTGTATGTAAAGTAAGAATATTACAAGGGACTTCATGTAGCCAAAGAAGTTTTTTTTGTTTCCTAAATAGTAGGATTATTTATTTATTTACTTAAGATCTATTCCAAGATGCACTTAACTTTGATGTGGATATTTTTTAATTTTGTTTGTGGTGGTATCTTTCTACTTTGTGGAATATAATCTCGTATGTTTTTTCACATTAATTATTTTGTCTCCTTGTTCTTCTTTAAAGATGAGATATTTTTATAAGCATATGTCTTAATAAAAAGTCTTATTAATTTTAAATATTTTGAATCTTGGCAAAATATTTTTTTATAAAAAGAAATTGTTTCAAAGTAAGAGCACAATATATCCTCTATTCTTGTAGATTTATAATTATGTCACTTAATCATACATGAATTTTATTTTATTTTTATTTTATTTTATTTTTAAATCCAAAAATAATACATGAATGCTTCGATATTATGTTGTATAAATATTATATATTATAGTAAAAAGATATTTCAAATAAGCCATAGCAATATGGCTTCTTTTCTTATATAAGTCAAATTTAAACATATTTATATGTAAATTCAAAGTTTAATTTTACATAGTCATGTTATTTAATTGGATCTAAATTTTATAATACATTATTTGATTAAAAAAAAATTATTAAATTTTATAGTATATTTTATTATGTCCTCTTTTAATTGCTATTTGTATGAAAAAGAATAATAGTATTTTTATCCTTCTCTATTTGTACAATACTTAAATTGCACAAGGATTTTTTTTTTCT